TACGGATGAAATAAAGGGTCCCCATCTCCTCAGGGACAAGGAACAGCTTACTTTTTGCCAGATTTCTTAATTCCACCTGTGGCCAGGGGCCCCTTCCCCGCGGCCTTTGCTTTTAGCTCTTCGAGTTTCTTCTGCTCTTCTTTTTGTTTCTGCTTGAAAGCCTTATCTTCCTCGTCCATCTCCTTGGCCTGCTTCTTGGGCTGTTTCAGGGGCTTCTTCTTGCCACCTTCCCGGCCGGACATGGCGCCTGCCACCCCTTTCCCAGACCCTGCCTCCGGAAACGGAGCGCCTGCCCCTACCCGCTTTCGTAGGCAGGGACGCAGCCCCGCTGATTCGGTATATGCTAACTTGTGTGTAAGAAAGAGAAATAAGACTACAGATAGATGAGAGTCTATCGGACAGGATACAGAGAGAAGAGACATAGAAGATAGAGATACAGATAGAGACACAGTAGGTAGATATGTAGATAGAAGATAGATGATGGATAGATAGATAGATAGATAAGCATTTTCTTTTTACTGCATGTTTTTGAGACCAGGGTTTCTGCTGTGTCACCCAGGCTGGAGTGCAGTGGCTATTCACAGGCAAGATTGTCGCATATCACAGCTTCCAACTCCTGGGCTCCAGCAACCCTCCCACCCCAGCTTCTTGAGTAGCTGGGACTACAGGTGCACGCCACCATGCCCAGCTAGTTTTTATTTTTTGTAGAGATGGGGGTCTTGCTATATTTCCCAGGCTGGCCCTCAAGTGATCCTCTGTTCCAGCCTCCCAAAGTGCTAGGATTATAGGTATGAGCCACCAAACTTAGCTCTAAAATTATGTTTTCTTTTTTTGAGACAGGGTCTTGCTCAGTCACGCAGTGGCACGATCACGGCTCACTGCAACCTCAGTCTCCTGGGCTCAAGAGATTCTCCCACCTTAGCCTCCCAAAGTGCTGGAATACAGGCATGAGCCACAGCACCCAGCCACTATATATTTTAATTGGCTTATATTTGCATCAGGAAACACTAAAAGGAAAAGCAAGAAACTAATAAAAATTGTTACCTATAGATTGGGAGTAAGGGGGATAAGAACAAGGGTGAGAAGGAGAATTTTGTGTCATTTTAACCATTTAAAATTGTCTTATTTATTTTAATGACTTCACTTATTTAACAAACTTTAATTGAGCAATGCTCCAGACATTCATGAATACCTGGGTGGGGATGAGGAGTGGAGGCAGATAGACAATGTGACAGTAGGCTGGGCACCGTGGCTCACCCCAATAATCCCAACACTTTGGGAGGCTGAGGTGGACGGATCATTTGAGTTCAGGAGTTTGAAACCAGCCTGGCCAACATGGTGAAACCTTGTCTCTACTAAATATACAAAAACAAGTTAGCCGGGCATGGTGTTACCTGTAATCCCAACTATTCGGGAGGCTGAGGCAGGACAATTGCTGGAGCCCGGAGGTGGCAGTGGCATGAGCAGAGATCTCGCCATTGCACTCCAGCCTGGGTGACAGAGCAAGACTCCGTGTCCAAAAATAAAATAAAATTTAAAAACTGTGACAGTATGCTCATAAATATGTACACTTGTACATATTAAAAATCTACCTCTGAATATCTGCTTTGGTGCAATGGAAAATAACTCAGTTACATGATTAAGAAGCCAAATCTAGTTAGTAATTGAAAGTGTATCTGTATGAGAGAGATGGAAGAATTAGAGATCCCATTCGAGAATCAAGTGCATTCTCAGAGATGGCAGTCGTTGCCCTCAAGGGAACCGAGCCCCTCTGAGGAGGACAACCACTGCACTCAACATAAAATGTCATTTCAGAGACACCTTGTTTGAACTAGAGCTACCTTCCCCCACACTCCCTCCTCTCTTGCTTTATTTAGGATCATTGCTCTTATCACCATCTTACATATATTTTTACTTATCTTGTTTGTCTGTCTTCACTAACTTCCCCAGGTCAACTTGTAAGTAGTCCTTTAATAAATATCTGTGGATGAACAAATGAGCAGATCGCTGCCTGGATTGCTTGATGGCTGTTTCTGAGATGTTTGACTCCAGAACACTGGTTTTATTGTCTCAGAAATCTCAACGCGTGTCTCTATCCCTGTGGCTGTTACCACTGCAAGAATGTATGCAAAGTTGGTCATCGCTGTCGATCCAATCGAGGGTATGTGCGTTGCTGGCGTGGGTATGTATTGAAATTAACCACCACTGAAAATGTCTTTAGAAGAACTATGCTGACTCCACAGTGAGACAAAAAGTTAGCATGTCCTTCCAAAAGTCAAGCAAACAGAGTAGCAAGGAGTAACTCTGACATTAGGAGAGCACGTATTTATCATTGTGGGGATGACAGAAATTCCACATTTTCTTGCCAAGCCAAAACCAAGAGCTTTGCAGAGCTTAGGAAAGGAAAATACCCACAAAATCCTCAGAAGAAATGAAAAGGTCAAGCCAGGAGAGACTGTTATGAGCAGTCCATGCATTGTGCAGCCACATGTCCTGTTTCAGTGGGCGACTTATTTCCTTACTTTACATAAAATAATGCTCTATGTTACCATCTTAGATGGCTGGGAATATAGCGTGGTTTGCCTGCCAGATAAGGTTCCGTTCTCACCTCCAACCACATCCCTAGGGGCAAGGATGTCCATTTCACATTGCCTAACAATTTAATAATGAACTCTTGTAGTTGAATGACTTGTTCAGTTGTTTTTCTCTTTTCAGAGGGTGCTGATTTTAAATGTCTCCATCTCAAACTGCTTGAACCGAGCCAATAGTCACATGTCAAAATACTATGAGATCACTTGGAGGGAGACTGGTTAAATACATTATGGTTCATCTGTACAAAAGACTATGAAGCTGTTAAGGTGACTAGGGCAGCTTCCTAGATACTAATTTGGAGCATCACAAAACTCTAGTATATATGGAAGAACAAAAAGACCAGGTGCATCTACCTCAATGGGTTCAGAGTGCACTCACTATGAAAAGGGGAGTGACGTGGGCCAGGCGCAGTGGTTCACGCCCAAAATCCCAATATTTTGGGAAGCCAAGGCAGGCAGATCGCCTGAGTCCGTCATTTAAGGCCAGCCTTACCAATGTGGTGAAACCCTAACTCTACTAAAAATACAAAAATTAGCCAGGTGTGGAGGCAGACACCTGTAATCCCAGCTACTCAGGAGGCTGAGCCAGAAGAATCACTTGGACCCAGGAGGCGGAGGCTGCAGTGAGCAGAGACTGCACCATTGCACTCCATCCTGGCAACAGAGCGAGACTTGGTCTCAAAAAAAAAAAAAAAAAAAGGCCGGGTGCAGTGGCTCAAGCCTGTAATCCCAGCACTTTGGGAAGCCGAGGCAGGTGATCATTTGAGACCATCCTGGTCAACATGGTGAAACCCCGTCTCTACTAAAAAAAAATACAAAAAATCAGCTGGGCATGGTGGCGCCTGCCTGTAATCCCGGCGACTCAGGAGGCTGGGGCAGGAGAATTGCCTGAACCCAGGAGGCGGAGGTTGCGGTGAGCCGAGATCGCGCCATTGCACTCCAGCCTGGGTAACGAGAGCGAAACTCTGATTCAAAAAAAAAAAAAAAAAAAAAGAAGGCCGAGGTGGGTGGAGATCACCTGAGATCAGAAGTTGGAGACCAGCCTGATCAACGTGGGAGAAACCCCATACTAAAAATACAAAATTAGCCAGGCGTCGTGGCACATGCCTGTAACCCCAGCTACTCAGGAGGCTGAGGTAAGAGAATTGCTTGAACCGGGGAGGTGGAGTTGTGGTGAGCCAAAATTGTGTCACTGCACTCCAGCCTGGGAAACGGAAGTGAAACTCCCATCTCAGAAAAGAAAAAAATAAAAGAAAAAGAAAAGGGGAGTAGTGGAGAAAGGGGGAGTGATGACCACCTCGTGCTTGCCAGGGTAGGTATCCAGTTATCTCTGGAAAGACATAGGACTTTTTTTTTTTTTTTTTTTTTTTAAAAAATTTTTTTTTTTTTTGAGGCAGGGTCTCACTCTGTCACCCAGGCTGAAGTGCAGTGGCATGACCTCAGCTCACTGCAATCTCTGCCTCCTAGGTTCAAGCGATTCTTTTGCCTCAGCCTCCCAAGTAGCTGGGATTACAGATGCACACCACTGTGCCGGGCTCATTTTTTTGTATTTTTAATGTTTCACCATGTTGGCCAGGCTGGTCTTGAACTTCTGACCTCAAATGATCCACGCACCTTGGCCTCCCAAAGTCCTGGGATTACAGGCATGAGCCACTGTGCCCAGCCTGCAAAATGCTGCTTTTTGAACTCATTTGTAGATAGGGCTTACTATCTACCAGTTAGTAATTGAAAGTGCCTAAGTATGTTTTTTTCTAGTAGTTAACGGTTAATCTTTTTCTAATGGTTAATCCTCTTAACAGCCCTATGAGGTACGGGCCTCATACCCCTTATTCTAGAGATGCACAGAGACCACACAGCCAGAAAATGGCAAAGCTGGGATTAAAATCAGGGAATCTGGCTCCTTGTCTTGGTGCACTCTGTCCGACTGATAAGACTGGCCTGGGGTGTAGGGGAGAGGGGTATAGCCAAGGAATCTGGAAGCCAAGGGTAGGAAGACAGAAATTCAGTATATACTATTTTGTTCTATTTGAATTCTTGCCAGGTGCAAACATCATCTATATTTTTAAATAATTTTAAAATTTATTTTTAAAAATAGATAATGCATTTAAAATGTCTCGCTGGAAAAACATGGGCAATCCACTTAGAGGGATCAGGTGAAGCCAAAAGCCTGAGTTTGCTGTGAATGACGAGGAAGCTTTTTTGATGTTCTTCGTATGGGCAAGTGGAAGTGGTTCTGAGAATCTTCAGCTACCAGGCATGGCTTCCTCTCTGCTCTCCCCTCCTCAGGGTCACCCTCCCCCTAATTCTATGAGTCCTCCAAGACTAGCCAGCACCTAAACATAGTGGATAACAAACCATTGGGCTTTGGAGTTAGAACAACTGATTCTCATTCTGACCCTCCACTTTCAAAGGGTCCCTGGTCAAGCTGCCTTTCTTCACCTCAAGTAATCTCATCCATAAAATGGGCATAATATTAAGCACCTTACAGTGTTGATAGCATGGTTAAATTAGGCAATACATGATATGTGCTAGGGGTAATGTCATGCATGAAAGTGCTCAATTAGCGCTTGCTATTATTCTTCTAGCATTGACCAGGATTGAAGCCTCAACTTGGATTCCAATAAAACTGTTGACTTTCCCAGGTACAGCCAGTATCTTCCCCTCCTCCCTTCATGTTTCTCCTTTCTCCCTTAAATGAAA